ATTATTCCTGATGTGTACTTTTTCTCAAAGTCGGGAGAATGTCGGAGATTCATAATATATATTTGTATTCGTTTTCATATTGCTAATATTATTATTACATGTCATTTCGCTATAGTTAATTCGTTTACCTTTCGCATGAAGGATTCCTCTGAGTAATTCTCGACCAATTAGAATCATTTAATTTCAGCCAATCATTTTACTCTGTATTGTATCTTTTTCTCCCGCGTACTTCATTTTGTATTTCCCGCTTACGTGTTTTCTCTCACGTTCGATTCGCACCTATATAAAGGGCTAGTTTCGGAGTTTCGGGGCTCCTTATTCATGTGTTATATGTTTCTATGCCAGTTTATCCAGCAATAAACCATACCGTGTTTTGCATCCTCATTGACTGTTTATTCTGCCATCAAGTTCAACTGAAGCGTATTATTATACCCCACAGACCTATGATATCACTTACATATTAAATAGATCTTTTCTTGCTCAAGTTTTTTTCAGAAATGGATGTATTGTGTTTCTGACAGGATAAACAACCAATTGCAAATTAGAATTTTGAACGATCGGTTATGCATGAATGATATCGATTAATGCATACAATTTAAAGTCTCAAAACCCTGGGAGAGGAATCAAAGAACCCTTTGCACGGATACACGAACGCACGTGATAAATGCAACAATCACGGTTCGGGAAAGACGCATGGATTTTACACACGGTCGTGAGTGTTTACACATTAAACGCAAAACGTTAAAGCACCGTCGGTATTGAGGGACGGTGATTAAAGCTTATATGGACACACGCTTATAGTATTACATTATAACATGCGTGCCATCTCTTGCTGCATGAATAAAAAAAAAGATAAATTGGTATGACCCAACGAGTTTCGCATGTTCAATACTGAGCGAAAAGAAACATGTATTGCTTATTTTACCCTTGTCTCATATGACAAAGATATATCTTAACACTTTCCAGTGTTCGGTGATATAAGGTAAAATAAATGAGATATGCTTTCTTACATAATAATGGTTGATGTCACCAAGTATAACACTATTTACATTAGTCGGGTTTCCTGGCGACATATTGTTCATTATAGTGGTTTATCAAAACTGCCAATTTCTGCATATCACTTGACTGCGTTTCTCCAAAAGCAAACGTATTTACGAACAACAAAAGTCTGCATACTAAATATTGGATAATTATTTTATAGACAGATTTGGATATCCAATATTTTCACGCATCACATGTATATATCTTGTATACGCTGTTCTCGACGCGTGTACTAATAACACAGGGCAGAACAAATCAGAAATAATAATAATACGTACGTGTTTCGAGTTCGGTCTTGGTAAATTTCCACATACAGTATAAGTTTCTAAAAACTGCACAAACGGCTCCGGGTCACGTTCTAAACTTCGCGTTAATGGCACAACTAACTCTCTCTGGCCAAAGCTGTGGAATTCATATCGATTGGCCGGAGCACTTTTGGCCCTGTATTTCATTCTGGCCACTGGTAAATTTAACGATATTTTCCTCGTCTTCGCTGATTGAGTTCGTCTCTGGGCAGAGGTGTAAAACGACTTGCCTGGTGTTCGCATGGTGTCTTCGGCAAACCCCGAATATGGTTGGTACTCGGCGTTGTAGCGATAACCACCGGCGGTCTTTGGTCGAGGTGGGAACTGAATTACCGAT